TTGGAAGCACTGTCGCGTCCTTCTGTTGTCTTGTGCTTTTCCTGTTCTGCGAGTTCTGCCAAACGATCGTGCGATACTTCAAGCCATCCAGAACATCCGATATACCTGACCGCCTCTAGGACCCACAGCTACTGTCTCTCTCGTCCCCAACTTCCAAGACCTCGTATCTGCGAGTCTCGTCCCTTGTCCTTCTGCCATGGCTCCGGCACAATCTGCGCTCCTGGCGCCACCACCAACACCTTCTATAACTTGACTGCCTGATCAGGTCTCGTCCATCTCCAGAAGAGGTCGATTAAGCGAGGACAAATAATGTCCAGCTTGTTGCGCTTCGAGAGCTCGGGTGCTGTTCGCTCGTTGAGCCACCGTCCTCTCTTTCATGACAATGGCATGGAGGCACAGTCCCTCTGTGATGAGGGTCATCGAAAATGATATGTCTTTGCAACTTGAGGGACCGGAGGCCAACCTGAGCGGGAGCTGATGGTCCTTCCAAATCATTTTGTGACCCAGATACACCTGCAGATGCTTAAGGGACACACTGACTAGGCTACTCTGACCATTCAAGCGTGTATGACAAGAATCTAAACCAACCTCACGCTGGAGGAGTCAGCACGATGGTGATGCATGATAGCACGAATGAAGGGAAGAGTCTGGAGGGGTTGAGGGAGTAGGGGCATGGGGGCCACCTGAATCAAGGCGCTACGACCCTCGTAGGTACATATCCTTCGCGGCCTGGGTCGAAAGTATGTCCTACTAAACACCGAAACACCCACAATGGGATACCTTGTCAGGTCGACACGTAAGCTAGATTTCGCTTGCGACAGATGCGGTACGGACCGGTACCTCCCCCGATGGACGGTGGACGAGGGTTTCGTGGCACAAGCTGAAAAATCTCCACGTGGCGCTCGCGGATGTTTGTAGTCCTTGTTGTATTAGATCTTCAGAGAGCGTCAACCAATTACGACTTTGGTCTATAGGCCAGAAGGATCGACTCCAACGGTCACGCTAGCCAATCGTGTCTCGCCTATGCTGTGCCTGATCAAATCCCCTGACATCCCGTGCCTTCACTTTCAAGCAGACATCTCATATTTGCCAATATACAATCACCACGAGACGCAGCGATGAAAACCAGATCCCCAGTGAAGATGTTTCTGTCACTTCCGCACGGGAGCCGCCAAGATGTGCCGGTCGAATCTGTGCAGTGGCCCATCGGTCTGGGCAGCTCAGGCTGGCTGAAAACGCCCATAAGGTACGTGCTCTTGGACGACAGAACCTGGGCTCTACCCACCGGTGCCGAAACAAGCCGTCTCCTTTGCAGCTGTATATCTGCACAATCACCTTCTTGTCGACCACTTTGGAGGTAGTAGAATGCTACATCAACTAATATTCCAGAGCTAATATGTACGGCCGTGCCCAAGTTCCAGAATTGGTGGTAACCCGTACCCAGTCACCACGGGTATCGGGAATGAAACGGGACAGCGACTCAATGTGACTATTGGTCGCAATGTGGACATGGCTCCACGGCTCTTACGAAGACGAAGTACGGAGGATTTCACCTTCCCAGCAATTTGTATCTCATTGGCCTCCAGTGACGCTCATCCACTCTGGCAGAGAAGGCTTGACACTTGCATGACTTTTGCAGACTTCTCAAGCAGGCTCACCGCCGAACTCAGCATCCGAGTCAGCGTCTATCCCGACAAAACCGCCAACAGAGCAGTGAGTTCGAGAAGCAGGAAGTCAACAGGTGTGTACACGGTATACCTAACCCACAGCTTTGCGCTCCTAACAGCAGAACAGCAATTCGTCTACCTGCTAGAGCAGCCAGCCCGTTGCGGTTGAGCACGCGCGTTACGTTGGCTACAACACCGACCACGAATTTGACTTGCAGCTCGATGACCTGATCCGGCATTGATCCACCACGAAAGGGACTTCTATTTGCATTATCACACGCATTCACATATCGCATTCGACAGCCAGCTCATGGTCTAGCCTTTCCAGCTGAAAGAAAGTCAACATTCGACGCCACGACACAATGCAGACTACCAGAATTCTGTACAGACGCTCACCGCATTTCCTCCGCCCACCTCGAGCATTCGCCATCTCACCACCTGTGCAGATACACCAACCGAATTGGAAGGCGACTCTGCACTTCGAAATCCATAGCGAAGGCGGAGCTGTGCATGCTGGAGGAGCAGGACTTGTTCGGTAAGGCAACCAAAACTTTGATTACCCTGCTCTTCAACGCCACAGACTTGAATCATTTCAACATCGCTACCATGACGACTGGCATCTGGACCACACAGAGTGTCAATTTTCGAAGTACCCAAGGTGCAAAAGTAGCGATGAGTCGTCAAGGCCATCGACCAGGGCAAAATTCGTCGTGGATGCTTTTCCTGTCTGTGGAGATCGCGACGAGGGAACTTTGGTCGTACTACTAGTCTGTTACGGCAGCTGTCTCTCAGTTGCCTGTTATGACTGCCTCTGCTTGTCTGCCTGCCCTATAGGCACAGCAACATGTATCTGCCTGTTCACTCCTTTACAGGCCTCTCCTATGTAAAGACTAGATAGTCCTATCAGTAACGGGTACATAGTCACCAATACACTCATTTTGGACAACAATTATTAGAAAAGGAATACACTCTGATATGACAGGACTCTAAGAGGTTGTCGTCAGGACCCTGTTCGAAGATGGTCGTATTTTGGAGAACTCGGGCCCGAGAGGGCAGCGATTGTAATTCATTGTTACGAGGGATGGTCTGTCCAATTACAGGGACAAAAAATGGGTCGAAAATTGAGAATATGCTCCAGAGTCCCCGTCGTCAATTTCGTGTCCTCGTTGGAGCTGGTCAGAATGAAGGGTGAGTGTAAAGCAGCATGGCCCGGGTTAGTATCACGTGATCACCCATAATTGCCAAGACGTCGGTGGAGCCTCCAGAGGTCGATTCGATGCCAGTTCGAGCGGAGCTTCGCGAAGGTTGACTGCAACTGAACTCTCTCACAAACTACGAGTCCACCCAACTCCCGCTCGTCCTGGCCTCAGCTCGACTCCTCTCTGCCCGCTGAGGCTCCCTCCCAGGCTCTGCATCCAAAATGCAGACCTGTCAAGCCACCCTCGCCCTCCGAGCAGCTCGGAGCTCACTGAAGCCCAAGTCCACCCCCCTCCAACGACGAAGCTACACGATCCAAGACGTCGCCATCACCCGCACGGGCAAACCCATCATAAAACAACGCGGTGGCAGGTCCTCGCTAGGGGGCCACACAGTCACCGTCTTCGGCGCATATGGCTTCCTAGGCCGATACATCGTGCAGCGCCTGGCTCGCCGAGGATGTCAAGTCGTGATACCCTATCGAGATGATATGGCGAAGCGACACCTCAAACTCACAGGCGATCTGGGAAGAGTATCGTTCATGGAGTTCGACCTGAGAAACACGGAGAGCATCGAGGAGAGCGTGCGGCACTCGGACATCGTCTTCAACCTGATCGGGAAGAACTATCCGACCAAGAATTTCAGTCTCTGGGACGTTAATGTCGAGGGCACGGAGAGAATAGCTGAGGCGGTGGCCAAATATGACGTCGACCGGTTCATCCACCTGTCGAGCTACAATGCGGATGAAAACTCGCCTTCGGAGTTCTTCCGGGCAAAGGTAGGAGCAGCGCCACGAAACATAACAGCGTAGGGGGACGCTTGACTGACGCTTCTGCTGTAGGCGTATGGAGAAAAGGTCGCCAGACAGCTCTTCCCTGAAACCACCATCGTCAGACCGGCGCCCGTTTTCGGCTTCGAAGACCAGCTCCTGCACCGCCTAGCGGGCGTGACGAACCTCCTCACCGTCAACAATATGCAAGAACGCTTCAACCCAGTCCACGTGAGGATGATGCCCATTACATCCCTTCTCTTCGTCGCAATGCTAATTCCACGTGTGCTAGGCCATCGACATCGGCATGGCTCTCGAACGCATCGGCTACGACGACACCACGGCGGGTGAGACCTTCGAACTCTACGGCCCCACAAATTACTCGATGCGCGAGATTGCCGAACTGGTGGATAAAGAAATCCTCAAGGAACACCGGCACATCAACGTCCCTAAAGCCCTCCTCAAGCCTATCTTATACTATCTGAACAAGGTCATCTGGTGGCCGATCATGACAGCTGACCAACTAGAGCAAGAATCCATTGATCAGACGATCGAGAAGGGAGCGAAGACGTTCAAGGACCTGGACATCGAGCCCGCGGAATTGAAGGATCTGACGTACCATTATTTGCAGGACTATCGGAGCAGTAGCTACTATGACCTGCCGCCGGCGACGGCACGGGAGAAGCAGCAAGCGAGGAAGTATTTGCACGTGATTGATGATCAGTAGGTGCAACGGGAAGGGAACATCGAACATCGAACGAGAGAGACTGGCACGGTCTCGCTGGGTTAAAGGGAGACTAAAACCATTATCATCGATTTCGGTACTGCAGGCACATCAAGAGACCGTCGTTGTCGAGATTGTACATAACAACAGGTAGACGTAGACGACGAGTCACAAGATCTGTCTACGTACCTATCTCCCTCCCTAACCATCCAGAAGGAATCCCACGTCCCATGAAGTTCTATCGTCGAAGGTCGACCGATTGACTGGTCATATTGATCATTGCAACCTCTGCACGCCAGCAGACTCAACTACATCTAAGCCAGGAGTCAGTCTCATTACCAACGATTCATCCTTTTGTCGCTATCTATGTATGCATGCATGTCTACATAATCATGTACGGTATCCAAAATCAAGTGCAAGTCTACCTACTCGTACAGTATTTCCTACTCCATTCCGCCGAAACAATCGACCATCAAAAAGAAGTACAACTTGATACTCCATCCGCCCCGGACAGATAGAAAAATATATCGACGATAAATCGTGGAGGATCATACCTTCGAGAAACTCTCGTCCCAGGAACCCCGCTATCCCCCGCTCAAAAAGAGAAATACCTTTCCTTAGAGGAAAAAAAGAAACGTTGAGACGTCAGCGATAGGGTTCGAACCTATGCCTCCGAAGAGATGTGATCGCAGAAAGCCCAGCTGGCCAATTCAAGTCACACGCTAAGGACATGGTTAGAACCATCAATAAATCACAGCGGTGGCGCCGTCGCTGCTTACCCTTAACCACTCGGCCACACTGACTGGATTGCATTTATCCCGATGGAACGATTTGGGAGAGCATTTGCGGGGCTTTTTCTGGCCCCGTCAAATATATTATGCCTTTTCTATCCGCCTTGGTGGGGTGGAGCCGAGGTACGCTCTAAGGGCCGGAACCCCAGTGTCCTCTGGGTACTTACGGGTACTACGGCAGCGCCCGGCCGATTCCCTGGAGCTTATACAGTACTCGTACTCTACTTGACCGCTGAGGTAATGTTCGCGGTGGTATGGACGACTTCATCGTTACAGTGTGAGGAGGCGTGGTCGCTTGCAAAGTTGCTTTCAGAGACGGGAAGGAAAACGGGCAGGGATCGAGAGCGAACAGCTGGAGGGAGATCTGCAAAGAATGGGCTGAGGGAGCCAGGCTGGGGGATTCATTTTCATACTCTGTCTATCCTTTGGTCTCATCTCGTTCCTTTGCCAATGTCGTCCATATGACTGGACATCCCGATGCCTGCTGGCTGCACATCATACCAACACATTCAATGTCTGATATCTATCAACAAGTTCCGTTGGCTGTCCGTTTCCTTCGATCCATTGCTGTTGATGCACATTACTTGACAGTGAGTGATACGGCAGCCACTTCGATAGATCTCGCCCCGAATCTGGTCACCATATCCAGTAATTGCAGTAATTGAGCATTGAGGGTTAATCCTTCATGCCGAAAACGAAGTCTTGATTGATGAGCCTGCTAGTTCTTGAGCGTTTTGCCACTGACAAAATCACCGCATGATTTCGTTCCAAATCAAGGCCTTCAACTCCTCCTTGCTCAACTGATCCTTGTTGCGGTCAAAGTCGAAGAATTCCTCGGGAATGGGCTCAGCTGTCGGCTCGTCATCCGGATCATGGTACGGTTCGAGGTAAGGATGCTTCAACGCTTCTTCAACAGTGATACGCTTGACGGGATTGAATGCAAGCAACCTCTCGAGCAAATCCAAGGCCAGGTCCGAAGTCTTGGGGAACAGGTGCTTCAACGGAATTTTCTTTTTGAATGGCAGGGAACGGATGTATTCTCGCGCACGTCGAGATTTGATGCCATAGTAGTCCTCCATGGTCGGTGTGCCGAGAACATCCAGAATGAGGGTGAGCTGATGGTGATCTGAGCAATACTTAGTCTCGATCCGATCTGCACGGATGGGCTACACTTACAGTCTTTGCCGGGAAACAAGGGCTTGCCGCTCAACATCTCCGCAAGAATACAGCCGACACTCCACACATCAATGGCTTTCGTGTACTCCTTGAACGTAAGCATGATCTCCGGAGCGCGATACCACCGTGTTGCCACGTATTCAGTCATAAACCCCGAGTTGTCATCCGTTGAGGCAGCCGATCTAGCAAGACCGAAGTCGCAGACCTTGAGGTCACAATTGGCATTGAGCAGTAGGTTTGAAGGCTTCAGATCCCTGTGGAGGACGTTCGCAGAATGCATAGCTTTGAGAGCGCGAAGTGTCTGGTAGATGAAGTACTGGCAATGGTCGTCTGAGAGATCTTGGGTCCTGATCACGCGGTGCATGTCTGTTTCCATAAGTTCCTAACACCACATCAGCCGCTGCAGAGAATCTAGGCGCGTTAAAACTCACCTGAATAAGATAGACCTCGGAGAAGGTCTCGTAATTTCGCGGCTTCTGAATGTCAAGGATGGAGATGATGTTTTCGTGATTGAAGTATCGGAGCAATTTCATTTCTCGTAACGTTCGGAGGCAGAACATAGAGTGATCGAAGGGAGTGATCTTCTTGATCGCGACTTTCTGGCCGGACGGCTTGTGCAGAGCAGAGCTGTGTGAGGGTCAGGTATAGGTCTCCCAGAAGCTGTTACAATCGGTGACTTACCAGACGACGCCGTAAGCACCTTCGCCAATCACATCTTGAATATCGTACTGATCAGAGACGTTGAACGAGATCTTTCTCGAGCCACCCGTTGGGGCAGTCTGTTGTTGAGGTTGCCCCATGCTGCTTGCTTGTCAAGTACGCTGAATTACAGCACAGATGGCGTGACGGGGTGAAGAGGGATATTCTAGCCTGCGTTCCAAAGATCTGACAATATCCAAACGATGTCCTGATCACGAGAAGCGGCTTCGCTCAGTTCGAAGTTCTCGAGATTGAGATCGGTGAAGGATGAGAGAATACTGGTTGCGGTTCAGACTAATTGCGCCCGCTTCTGCGGCCCGGGTGCGAGAAGTGTACAACGTGATAGCTGGAGGCAGAAAATGTAGATGAAGTGACAGGACTGGTGGCGCTTAGTATCGCCCGTGGTGCGACAGAGTGGTGGGTGGTCCGCGCCTTCGCTAAGGGCGGATTGAGAATAAAGAACCTTTGGCTTACTGTTAGATTCCGCTCTTTCTTTGTGTCGTGCGACAACAGACAGCTGATTTGAGCTTACCGGTCCGTTTGATTGTCTTTGTTCTCGCCTGCGAGTCTCGCACCGTGTTCCTGCGCTGTTCTCGGCGGTAACGCACGAGGTGATTCAACTGAGGTCTGGTGCTGGGGTGTCGAGATAGTGGGGTAGTCAGGTTGCCGCAGTGCTGCGGAGTAAAACGTTGCACTTGAAATGAGGGAGGACTTCAACCGTGAGAGAAGGACAACAGGCGGGAAAGAAGAATGAGAACTGCGCAGCAACGAGAAGGTGTCTGCAGGTGATCACAAGGTTGGGAATCACACTGTGAGCAGTGAAGCAGCTTCACATTCACACTCAAGGATCAAATCCCCATCCACGCTGCGGCCGAATTGAAGGGCGTTTGGATGAATAGGCGCCCACATTGGTCGGGCTAAGCAAACAATGGCTTGAATGGGTCACCCGCTTAACCACGTTCAGCCTGGTCTGGGCCGGGGCCGCCAGTCTGCGACAGCCCTCGGCCGCCCACTGCTGTGTTCGAGCTTGTCGGATCAGTGTTTCATCTTTTTATTTGCCGCAAGCATCGTGCTGGAGCTCGAAATAGCTCCCTGACTACGCTGGTAGGGCGGGACGAGCCTTGCTATCTAGCCATAGACATCCTGTCCTTGCTTGCCGCCAGCGGCAATGAGGCTAGCAGAATGTTCCCTTCTTTCCTGAGTGCAAAAAGAAGGCCCGACCTCTGCTCACTGCCGTCAACAACCGAAGGGGAGCAAAGCTCGGAGCTTGGAATCAACTCAATTCTTATTGCATGACCTGTTGAGAGTGTCAGCGTCGTGCTCGCTAGCTCGCTACTGGCCTATGACTGTACCTTTTCGCGCATTCTGCCCATCCACTGCTGCAAACTGACACCCTGATCTGCTCGGTCCTCCACGAGCATTGTCTGCGCCCACAATCTCAGACCGGGCTCGCCATCCTCTTTGACCACGTAGAGGTGCGGCACGATAATACTGCCCACTCCCTTGGACCTGTGATCGCGGCTCTTGGAAACCACGGCCCTAACTCGCTCGTTGAAATCATTGTCCAACTCTGGCAATCGTTGCTTCCCAATCTTGAGCTGACTCTTGTCCGGCACGCCGAAGACGTCGAGCACTAACTGAGGCACAGCATCCCGCCCGACCCAGAGGAACTGCGTCTGACCATCGTCGATCAAATACAGGCCATAGGGTACGATCCTCTCGGATGATAGGTTGAGAGGCGGCGGCAAAATGATTTCGCCTGTCTTCTCATCCACAGTACCGGCGTCGTCTGGCATGTCGTGCAGGGAGAACATCTTCGGATAGATGTACTGAATTAGCAAAGGCAAAGGTAAAGTTGACAGCAAGCACAGCGCCGCAGACCGCATATCGCTCGGTATTTGTGAGGACCTCCTAAGTCCCAAATTCTTGGTCAGCGCAAGGAAAAGGACAGGCAGACCGCGAAGGTTGGCAGGGAACTGCAGGCCACCGCCGCCCATACTGCCTCCAGCCAGCTCTTTTTTATACGTGGCAAGTAACTCGACCAGCTTAGCTTCGATCATATCTCGGGCGCTGTCCAGTCCACCGTTCAGAACACGTTCTACGGCCTTGTGACTGTAGTATTCGGTAATGGCTTGCTGATCCGCTGACGCATAGACGTCGGCCAGTTGTTGCGTTGTCGGCAGCGCCAGGGTCATGACCCGAATGCGTCGCTCGCCATTGCACGTCGTGTGCAAAACAGCGGTCTGCATGCATACCACAGGCTTCGTGATAGTCTCATCAATCGCGACCTCCACGACATAGCTTTGATCTCTTGGGAACGCTGGGAATGCGCAGAGGTCAGAGCTTCGATTAAAAAAGTTGCCGTAAAAGGTGCTCATTCTCAAGCCGGTAGTTGCTCGCACACGCAGAACGGCCTCGAGCCCAATTTCCGCCGACAGATAGTCAGAGAACTCTTTGGCAAACTTCATGGCGTCATCTTCCCTAGCCGCATTCCAGCCGGGGTAGAAGTAGGTCTGTCCGCCAGTGTATCTGGGCAGATTGCTCAGCGAAGCCACGTCCTGGTATTGTGACGAAAACAGAAACATGTCGACCGAAATTTGCTGTTTTGAACACTCGACAGCGAAGCTCTTGTAGAAGCTGTTGCCAGTCTGGAGTAGGCTGCTCTCTTTAGAAGTGCCCAACAGCTTCTTGTCCTCACGCATCTCGAGCTTGCCAGTTCCAATGTTGGGGATTGAAGCAGTGACCACTGTCATCTTTCCGCCAACAGGTCCTATCAGCTTATGCCCTGCTCGAAGTGCTGAACCCATAGCAGATGCTCCGTTCTGAGTGTTTTGAAACATCTCTTGCAGTTTGTCGAGGAAATTTTCAATGTTCTCTCGGCACTCCGTCAGAGTGACCAGCAAATCTGCCGGCGTAGGCAGGAAAGCCTCTTCCAGATCACTCACGACGAGCATGCTAGTCTGCGCATTCTCCGTCCCATCACGGGGGATGTTGAAGAAATGTAGACTCGAGTCTACGGCGATAAAGCCCAGCCGAGTGCGTCGATCGGCATTGGGTATCCGATCCAGGCTCTCTCGAATACACCGTGCTGTTGTCGCCAGGAGACCACTTGTCACCGCCGCATAGCTCACATCCAA